TGGCCGGTATTGTTGTCATCATCGACTGCAGGCTACTTAAGTGTCGCCATATCCGCTCATTTAAACATTTCATGAACATCATGATATAATCCTGCTAATGAAATCGGTTCATGTTATTGATCACAGCCAATATATGCAGCATCGTTGGCTTCGACGCATAATGAGGGTTGAATAGCAGAACAACGAGGGAATGAATATTCTCTTCTGGATGACTTTAGTAGATGTGGAGATTAAGAAAAGAAAGTTGGCCATATTAGATTAACTGGCTGAGCCTAAACCATTTATTCGAGCCCATTAGCTTCTGGCATTGGGTTAGACGTACGGCACGCATCGGCCATAAGAAATGCATGCTAAATTAAACAGTTGATAGAAGAAGTAACGGGTATCTTGTAGCAAAAGTATTAAAAGAGTGCAAATACAGCGGACAATACCAGCCAAACCGTTTTGCGTATATAAATGGCTTGAGTGTTATGATTTCTGCAAACACAAACATAAGTGAAGTTATCTGCTTGATGATTGTAGGATGTGATTCTGGGCTGTTTTACAACTCTCAGTTCGCTCGCGTGTATATCAAAGAGTTGATGAAGTTTTACCTCCGACCTCATATGTTCTCAGCACACGTGAATGATGCGACGCGTAGCGTGAGTCATTGATCACAAGTTTGGCTTCAATTTTATAAGTGTGTTGTCAGAGTAGCCGCGCCGTTCCCTGGTATCTAGTAGGTTATGGTTCCGGTTTGCGGGTCAGAGCTTCATGGTATTTTAGCTCCTGCAGTATAGTGCAAAAACGCATAAAAATTTTGGCCAAATGCCTATTCGAACACTAACGGATATTCATCGATCCGTACACATAGATAGTACTAATTAACCGGTGTTATGTTGACTAGACCTGCTGACCTTGTATATCATCTGTAAAAATAACAATCTCCCGATTCACACGGCGTGGTCGCCCCATCCCTTTGCTTTTAGCAGCCTGTAGAACCGTTAAACGGGTTATGGCCCCATGGTATTGTAGCACCAGCTAACATTTATTGGTACATCCATAATACCGGGAGTAATTTGTATCAGAATAATTTATAGTCGTATTTTCTTATTAAAATAGTTTATCGCGATCATAGAACGCGTGATCACTGCCAAACGGTGAGGGGGGAGATCCGTAGTTGTTTGTTTTAAATTAAGATTTAAAAGTACATTGAACATCGGTGCATCTCCCTCAGGACCTAAAATTCACCAAGTACCCTTGACTCTGTTTTCAAGTATTTTCACTAATAGGAAAAATTATTCTTTACGCTCTTCTTTATTCTGTGTCCTGTTAATACCTCGTCCTTTTCTATCCATGGTGTGAAGCTTAAAAGCGAATGATGATATTGCGGCACATGATGTTGATGGAGATGGCAACGAAGCACGTCATTAATTAAACTTTTCATATCGTCTTGGTGTCCTGAACCATGGATCGAAAAGAGTAGTTGTTAAAGTAGTAAAGTGCTTTCAGAAAATATGATTTTTAAACCAATTAATTAAAACCAAATTAGTAACTTGTGATTCAGTCTATACGTCGCGTCAAGCGCAAACATTGTCTGTCCAGAGCATGTGACGAGATCTGGATCTACGTCGTTAACCGACACATGAACGCGCTCAGTTCGTGCCTTTCGTCACCTACACAACTTACGTCTCACCAGGATCTCTTATCCGCAGAAAGTGAATTACAAAACATGCTAAAAATTAAGCTCCATGTGATTAACGGAAAAGTTTGATCGTACTGCTTATTTCGTTGACTGTGGAGTGCTAAAACGATATATGAATCTTGTCAACGATTTAACTCTAATATACTTCCCCTTCTGCTGTCGGAAAAGTGCACTCTGAGATGCCTCCTTTGAACGATATTACTCAAAACTAGACACAGGTCGTATTCATTCATGAGGAAGCAAGAAAATCGAAATGGCGAAAATTCCTAAGGCAAATAGCGAGAAACACATATTCAGATTTCATTCCGCTACCACATCCCCAGCGCAGTATTCAGACAGAAAAGTTTTGTAAAAAATGTGATCGTTGAAACTAGGGACAGCAAAATTCGAGAATTCAGGCTTGGCGTATCTCCGTTCATTGTCCATTATGCAAAGCTTCAACCTCTGAGTAGTGCTGAGGAGTTGTCAAAGACAGTTTGGCATCCTTCA